TATATTTCATGTGGAAGGGCTCAGTGGGTAAAGGACTTTGCCATTCAAGCTTGGTGGCCTGGTTTCAACCTCCAGAATTCACATGAACATAGAAGGAGAGAACTGACTCTATAAAGTTGTTATGACCCCCACACATGTACATATCATATGTACCAAATAATGGTAATTTTAAAATACATATTTAAAATATGATTACTAAAATAGTTTATTATAATAGAACCTGGTGGCTTGATGATTAAAAGAGAACATCTATTCAAATAAATAATTATGTTGGCGAATGATGCAAAAAAGCCCAGAAATATCATGCATATATGACTGAGAGGACTTTTTTTTTGTTGTTTCTTTTTTTTTTATTGGATGTTTTATTTACATTTCCTATGTTGTCCCCTTACCCCATCCCCCACCCACCCAGGAACCCCCAATCCCCTCACCCCTCCTCCTTCTTCTCTGTGGATGTAACCTCTATCTACCCCCCCCACTCCCACCTCCCCACCCTCACAACTACCACCCCCCGGGGCATCCAGCCTTCATGCAGTCAAGGTTCCCTTCTTCCACCTATGCCCAGCAGGGTCCTCCACTCTTACATATTCAACTGAAGGGCTGGATCCCTCCCTAAGTGCTCCCAGGCTGGTGGTTTAGACCCTGGGAGCTGTGGTTGGTTGGTATTGTTGCTCTCCTCATGGTGCCACAAATCCTTTCAGCTCGACTGAGAGGACTTTTAACCTTTGAATTCAGGCTCTAACGTTGAGAATTTGGCTACCATAACCCAAGTATTCCACTAACATCCCTACACCAAGCTAGCAGTGTGTAATATATATTGTAGTTGAATAAATTGATATATATTCAAAAAAGCCAACCATAAAGAGAAGTGTCCATCTCTTAGATCTCAGTTCGGTGGGGTTTCTATAGAAGGCCAGATGCTCCATATTTTAGTATACAGAAGACTATATGTTTTGTGTTGTAACTGATCAATGTTGACCTCACTGGTAATCAATCGAAACAACATATATACAAGTTAACATAGACAAGCGCCAGCAGAAACATATTTACAGACTCTAATGTTTAACTTGCATTCAGCGTTTGCAAGTATAGCCTATCCTGCTTTCCACATTTTCTTCAACATTTAAAAGAGAGGAGCACAGTTGACCAATCCCTTCTATATGCTTTTCAAGTTAAGAAAAAAAAAGGCATAAGTGGCATAAGTACCATTATTAAATTGACAAAATAACTGTGAAAAGGAAACTGGAGACTCTATGTCCTTAAATTAGACAAGCAAATTCAGTTAGTCCACAGATAGCATGCAGCCTGTCTGTCCTCTTGGCCACATCATTTTCTCCCATGCCCCATGAGGTGAACCTGGATCTTCTTGCCCCCAGTTACCCTCATACCGTCAGCTTCATAATTATGCATCCTTTCTTTTCTTTGCAGTGAGGAATGAGTCCATCAACCCTGTTCTAATCTCATCTGCTACTTCCCCACCAGCATAGAAACACACAGCATCCTATCACCAACTGAGCAATGCTTTTCACCCCCTAAGAAGAAAGAGCCTTTCTGAATACAACAAAGAGAGCACACTGGCTAAAATCAAAATTTAATAAATGGACCTCTTGAAAGTGAGAAGCTCCCACACAGCAAAGAACACTGGCATTCGGAAAGAGTGACAGCCTTGCAGAATAGGAAACGAATTTCTATCAACCATCCATCCAATAGAGACCTAATATCCAAATTATATAAAGAACTTTTTAAAAAGCCCTAGATATCAATAAGACAACCCAATTTTAAAATAGGTGTACAGATCTAAACAGAGAAGTCTCAAAAGTAGAATATTAAATAGCTGAGAAATGCTCAATATCTTTAGCCATCAGAGAAATGTCAATCAAAAGTACTTGAGATTTCATCTCACACCTGTTAAAATGGCTACAATCAACAAAAGAGTGACAGCTCTTTTTACGATACAGATGATTTGTATATATATAATGGCTTCCAGCTTAGTGTTTATATGGTATTCCTGGGTGTGTGTAATTTGTACAGGGTCTCTGTGGCTCTGTTTGTTTCTTGTGTCTTTTCGAGGGCTCCTTTTCTACTGTTTATTTGTTTTGTCCTATTTCAGTGTAATAGTTTGTGTTTTATCTTATTTTCTTATGAGAGACAGAGAGGGAGTGAATCTGGATGATAGGGGAGATGGAGAGGGGGAAATTGGGAAGATTAGAGGGAGGAGAAACCGTAATCAGAATATATTATATTAGAAAGACAGCAGTTTTCAATAAAAGAGTGGAAAAGAGATGATCTTTTCTCCTTCCTTCCTAGCTTTGACACTTTCTCTGTTAGGAGATATCTCTTGGTAACAACCAATCAACTCAGACCAGCAAAGGAGAAAAGACATTTGAAAAGTTTATGTATATTACACTAGGTGCCAGAACTCATACACACAGTAAGAATTACAAGTCTATCAGCAACATTAAACACGTAAATACATGCTACTCCTTGTCAGGAATACATTCTGTTCTAGATCTTCAATTCATTCTAACTTAGACGCTTGCCTGGTTTGTGTTAAAATAAGCCTAGATATTTTGTCTCCTTTGTTACTTTAATATTTTAAAACGGCGGCACCCAATCTGGGTTGTTATTACAGAGCCACCATGTTCCCAATTAGGCTAGGCCTGAGGCCAGGAGCAGTAGCAGCATGTTCTCACCACTGCTCAGCTCAGGCCACCAGCTGAGGTGGTGCCCTGCCACCCACGAGACTCCAGCTTGGGAGATGGTTCTGCTAATCTATCTCGCTGTCTCCACAAGGTTGGGCTGAGCCCAGACCATCCCACCATCCATGAAGTACCCGGTAGAAATGAGACTCTAATGCTTAAAGATTATCCAAAGGCTTTATATGTTTAGTAATGCTCAATTAACAAGATGCCCACACAATTAGAGGTGTTAACTAATTGACTAACCTAAATATAAGTCGTTACTCAGGACTGCTCTAGATAGATGCGTGGTTCTCCATGGCTCCTACATCTCTGCTTCCTCCTAGCTCCTCCTCTTCCTTCTTCTCTTTATTCCCCTCACCCCGCCTACCTCTCATACAGTCCAATCGCTGAACTTTATACAAACGTAGTGGGATGGTATCCCACTACATCCTTGGAACACTGGAATGAATTAGAAGTTGAAGTTTTTGGTCAATGCAATCAGGATGCTCTGACTTGAATGGATCCTTTCAGAGTATTGTGGTGCTTCCTGTGGCCACAATTAGTGCCTCAGTATTTCTAGATTCCCTGCATCTGAACCATTTACTCACTCTCTTCTGAAAGGGCCACTTGATCCTAAGACCCAGCACTAACTTAACAGTTGAATTAGAAAAAAAAAAAAGGTTCATTCTAAGCTTGCTCAAAGTTTACCATGTTGGCTTTACCTATACATTTCACTTATAGGGATTAGAAGTTTCCTGTGCATTTATGCTGCTGCTGCTGCTGCTGCTGTTGCTGCTGCTGCTGCTGTTGCTGCTGCTGTGCTCTCTGCCCCCTCCCCGTCTCTGTTTCTGTCTGTCTCTTTCTCTTTCTCACTCTCTGTCTCTCTATATCCCGGTCTCTGTATCTCTCTGTCTCTGTGTGTGTGTGTGTGTGTGTTTGTGTGTGTGTTTGTGTGCTGCACACACACACGTGCTTCCATCCACATGCTTTGAGTGTGTGCATGTGTGACAGAGCAAGTTAAATACAATGCTTTACAGTTCTGTTAAAGGAACTTGCTTAAGCCCTAATCTAGGCTCTAGGGACAGTAAAACTATGGCTCCAGACTTGTAAAGAATTCAGCCATAGAGGACACCAGCCTCAAAATAAGGTCATTGTACTTTGTATTAGTGACTTACTTGAAATAGGATTTAAATTGGGTGAGAGGACTAAACAGAACAAACTGTGTCTAAGGATGCAATAGTTTAGTTAGAATCAGAATTATCTGTCCCTCTGGAGCATACTGGAAGGTTCTGGATTCAGAGCCGGGCACGTCTTCCCCCAGGTCTTGGGTAATTTACCTTGCATGTTGAGCATCAGTTTTCTGACCTGTGAAGTGGGGGATGCTCCACACACAGGATTAGCATCAGCTGCCTACCCTGTCATCATTATAGGCCCCTTCATAGTCCATTGGACAGATGGGACAAGAGAGATCAGTTTTGAGGGGTTGTATGGGGACAGAGCTTCCATTTGGAAGAGAGCTAGGAAAACAGTGCACCCGGGTCAGCTATTGTCCTGCTCCCCCTGGGAGCCCATGAGACAATACAGAGGCTATCTTTTCCAGCACAGGCTTTGGATATTTTACTGTCCTTACAAGTTGACTGAAGGGCCCGGGTCAGGTTACACACTTTTTTCACTTTTTACAGGGACTTTACAGTCCAAACTCAGGATTCCTCAGGCTCAGTTTGGTTCTCCAGTCTTGAAAAGCGTACTTGTTTTGGCACAGCTAAGCTATCTAAGATTTCTTCCCAAAGGATGAAGAGAAGGTAGATGTTTGGGAATAACATATGTCTAATGTCTGGGTTGTTTTAAGTACTGATGAAGTGATATGGATACACTGAATGACAGAAATGGACACTGTGTCCTCTACAGCCTTATAACATTGAAGTGATGGGTATTCTGCAGGAAAGGGGGCCTATTAAAATGTAACTTAGTACCCTTTACTGTTCTTTGTGACTTCCAGCCCTAGAGCTAAATCAGACTTGAAGTGCTAATACTCTTCCTCTTTAGCCAACCAGTAAAACAAGCAAACCAGGTAGCATCACTGTTAGCTACACAGACAAATGTTAACTGACTTCTCTGATGTCACAGCAGGAAAGACGAAATTGAACCTCACCTCTCTGTCCCCAGAGCCCCTGGTGGGATGCTAAGGTTTCCTCACAGGGACCTGCCAAGTGGAACACCCATTGACAACGACACTTTCCCAGCATTCAGCGGTGGCTGGGTTGATACAGGGAAAAAAAAAGATGGAGCCCCAAAGCTGTGTGTCTTTGTTTCTTCCAGGAGAGAAGCCCTACAAATGCACATGGGAAGGCTGCACCTGGAAGTTTGCCCGTTCAGATGAACTGACCAGGCATTACCGCAAACACACGGGAGTGAAGCCATTCAAGTGTGCGGACTGTGACCGCAGCTTCTCGAGGTCAGACCACCTGGCGCTGCACCGTAGGAGACACATGCTGGTGTGAGGAAGGCTCCGGTCCAGCTATATGCAAGAGCTGGGTCTCTTCAGGAGCAACTAACTCAGCAGGGCTGAGCTCCTCTACAGTGTTAACGTCAAGGGCACCGCCATTCCCACGGTGCCTGAAACCAGAGCAGGAACAAGAAGGAACCCTTCTCCCTTCGGCCTGAAGGTAACCCCCCCATCATGACCACACGCGTGAGAGAGTCGCCGTCTGCGTCCACGCTGGCCTGGGAGTTCAGAGCCTCAGGTCCTGAAGAGACAAGCATTGTTTTCCATGCTATGTCCTCTACCATCGAAAAGATGTTTGTAGCTTGTACATTTTCCGAGCTGGCAGACACTCTGCTATCAGTCCCTTAAAGGTCATCTACCACAAATTGATGGTTAGAGGAGACCCTTCTCAGTTTGGATGATTCTTCCATGGCACCCCACCCCACCCCAACCCCAACCCCAAGCCCTTTTGACAACAATTTCAGTTCTTATCTCAGTAAGCTAGAACACACATCCAGTCTGTTACCAGCTAGCAGCATGAACTAGAAAGGAAGGGGCTATTGGAGACGCTCATTACCCAAAAAAGAAAGGCTCACAGAAGGAACCCTCTGTGCTAGCAATGGCAGACCTAGATAGCGTTCATATCCTGTCCTCATGCCATCCCCAAAAAGAACCAACATTGAGTCTTTTCATTTGTTTGTTGTTGCTTGTTTCTGTTCCGTTTCTATTCTGTTTTGTGCATCTGTTCCAGCAGAGGGGCAGAGCAGTTTCTCAAAGGCTAGTCCTGCTCCTCCCTGGCATGGACTGGCAGAGGTGTTCTGTAGTTGAATAGGAAGAGCCTATCTAAAATAATAATAATAACCACTGTCCCACTTCAAATTGCAGCGTTCTGTCACCTAGGCACCATCTCCTTCTGCCCTTAGTGTTTGATTACAAGGAGTCAGGGGAAGGGGGACTTTCTTAGACACACTGGCACCAAGGTAAGAGGTGGAGATGCCCAGGCAAAGTCAGTGAACGTGAAAACGAGACAAAGCAGAGATGGAAATAATGCTTCTCCTGAGGAGAAAAGCAATAATGAATAGAAAGACTTTCCTACAATAACTCCACTGAGGACTCACGTTACCGACTTTCATACTTACCAAAGGGATTGTAAAAAACACCCCAGCATTTCAGATGTCTTAGTTACATCCACAGCACGGAGGCAATCTTTCCACTGTTTGTTGTCCTACTTGCTTAAGTACCACAATTAAAGATTATGCTCCCCTCTTCTTGGTTGAAAACAGATATTTGGTGACTAGAGAGGCAAAGGAGGAAGAGCTGAGGATTACCTCTTCAGCCAGGGGCTCTGTTCCACGTGGGTGTGTGTCCGTGGAAAGAGCGTCCTCATGGAAAGCCTGTCCTGGTGCTACTTCTCCAACTGGGAGAGCCAAGAGTCTGACTCTACACATTTCACTTTTTAAACTGTCCCAGAATCCTTGTGCTCCCACATTGGCATCCGCAGGGACAGACAACCTGCTCGTCCTGGGAGAAGGGTGAGAGCAAAGTTAGGTTCCGGCCTTCCTCTCAAATGAAGAGCGTTTTGTATCTAGCAAAATGTACAGAAAAAGCAATACATCCCCGACAAGCACTCTTTCCAAAATATTTTGTCCCCATTCAAAGCTGCTGTTTTTCCCAGCTTTCTGTGGCAATTGGGTTTGGTGAGATTATTGCTGTTAAGACGTTTCATAGCTTCGGTATAAAAGGTCTCCAGTGAAGGCCTTTGCAATATATTTCAATGACACACTTGATTTTGGGAATTGCACAAAGCAACCTCATAAGATTCCTAACTCGTTTTTAAATGTCTGCACATTCTAAAATGATTTTTGGTGAGAGTCATCCTTTATAGTATCAGCTTCTAATTGGGATAACTGTATTCTGACAGAGCAAGAACTATAAACTTACAAGGAGAACCATTTGTGTCGGGTAGCTTTTAAAAGAATTTTAATAAATTTTCAGGCAAAAGTATCATGATTTACAGGTCAAGTCCCAGCTTCAGAAATATGTGCTCTATATTTTCTGCCAGGTCAAAAACCTTCATCAGGCAATTTTCCTCCTACAAGGGCTGTAGTTTTATTGATAGATAGCTTCAGCTACACAGGTTGGTACCCACCAGCCAGCAGGGTTTTTTTGGTTTTTTGTTTTGGGCTTTTTTGTTGTTGTTTTTTTTATATACCAACTGGAACATTTTTTAATCTGTACTGTATGCACTTCCTACTTCTCATTGCCTGTAATCATCCAGAATGAAAACAGGCTTCCTGATGCATGCCAGCATTAGTAACTGTCCAGGACAAAGAACACTGACAGTAGCAAACAGGCATGATCCTCCAAGCGCTGGCCCCAGGGCCTAGTTGGCAGGTAGTGAGGGAGTCACTCAAGTGAAGTATAGATTTGGCTTTGTTCTGGCAGCTCTCATAAGAGCCAATACTTTTTCCACGGAGAAGCATCTTGCAAGTTTTACAGGGAGAATTCACTGAACTGACAGGCAAGGGAAGCTTCCTGACTGACATCTTGATTTAAAATTAGCACAGAACTAAATGAGGCACACCTCTCTAACAGCATAGGGAAACTCTTCCCCCTCACTCCCTGTAAGGGGAAAGCATACTGAGATGGTCAGGTAATGGATAAAACCTGCCACCATTACAGCGTTTCCCTCTTTTTGACATAGCGATATTTTTTAGAAGAGATGCAAGCACAAATGAATACATCCCTGATCTGGCCCAAGAACTGAAACTTATTTGGCCCTTGTCTGGAGGGATGTAACCAATCCTCCTCGGTAAGTTTCCTAGGTGTGTTTCCAGTATAACAGAAAGTGGTTTGAGACTAAAAGGAATGGTATATCCTTGGGCACAGAAAAGCCTCCACCCATTTCATATGTGAGTCTAGCTTCTTGAAAAGCACAGTATATGATAAGCTACCAAAAAAGATAGAATCCTAGAGCGCTTCTCAGTGCTTTCTTAATCAGAGCACGCTTTGGTTTCAGGTTTAAAGTGAGTGGTTCAGCTTGCAGCTAGGGAGTGTGTGCTTGGGACCACCTCACACACAGCATGGAGAACCAATTGTCTCCTTGCAATGTAAAGGCTGATGACAAAAGAGTTGGGCTATTAGAGGTTTTCAGAGAGTCCCTTATATTCCAGTCTTACGGTTACATGAGTAAAATGAGCACTTTAAAATATCACTTTAAAGATGAAAAGTGAAACAAGATGAGTTAGGGGAAGGGGGCTTTAAAATGCTTCAGTGTTTACAAACAAACGTTGTAGGTGATTAGAAAAGCCATGTTCATCGTGGTTGAAATTTGGAACAGCTCATGCGAAGACTGTGTTCATTTTCATGCAACTTATTTAACGTCAGATTGCCATTCGGGTCCGGAACGGAAATGGAAGTCTGCACTTTGAGATCAGTTCATTAGAATGATAACGTGTAAACAGATGAAGATGCAGTATTCCTTAGTCTCTGCTTTGTTTATGATATGTACCAAAGCTAGCTGCAATTGAATCAGTCTGGTGAGGCGAGGCCTTCAGTGGTACTCACATGCCTTTGTTTTGTTGTAATGACTGCCTAGAAACGTAGCTGAGATGTTGCTACAAGGCTGTCTAATCACTTGTAGAGAGAGGATTCTTAGGACTGAAGCAGTGTTAATACCAGCATACACACAGTCCCCATAGAAAGGATCAAATATGAACTAATGCTGATGAACCACACAGGCCCAGGAAGCCTTAATACTCATAGTTCAAGATCAGAGTTTATCCTTTTCCACTGTCTGTAAGTTTATCACATAAATGTAGGCCACCAGCCAGATCTCTCTCTTTCCTTTGCCTGAGGTTGTGTATCGCACAGAAGTGTTCTCAAATGGACTTGACTCAGTTAAGGAAAGAGGTTTGGCCAGTCATGTCTTCCATATTACGTGTCTACTTATTCCCACACTGCCTTTCACTTATCTGGACAGACGCCCCCAACACATGCACCTGTGTGTACACATCTGGATATGCAGCAGCCGGCAGGCAAGTAAATATCAACAAAGAACTTTTTTTAAAGAAATAATTTGTAATAATCCATCCTATGTAGAAATGTAAGTTATTACCCGACTAGAGAATCAGCTTATAATACTATGTAACTCTGCCTGCATTTTGTAGTTAAGAAATGTATATAAAAAAATTTAAAATGCTATATTTTCACAATTTCATTATAGAGTAATGTCTGTTTAGCAACCCATGCCCATTGGTATTTTAAATATGCTAAATATTGAACAATTGCAATAGAAACTCAGATTTTCATAAGAAGATACAACAGAAGGATACTGCATCTTTAAAAACAGAGTGACGCTATTTTACTGTATTCGTAACATATGTGATAGTGGAAAAGTATTTTCAAAACATGCAAATTTTACAGAGGTTGTAAATAGTTTGATGACGTATGTTGGGGAAAAGCTTCTAGTTTTCATCACAATAAAAAAAAACACTTGTTCAGATATGCCTTGTGTATGGATGATACACACAATTAGCAATGTTGCCATGGGAACTGGTCCCACTTGTTGATTGATGTTCTTGGTGCTTGGTTAGAGCTGAGTGGCCACTTGTCATAGTTTAGCCAGAATGATTTGAAACTCCAATGAAGTCACGTTTTCAAACTTGTCATGTTTTACCTTGGAACTGAAAAAGTGGGGACTTACTCATTCAAGAAAGAATCACCTGGTGATCATTCTCCCCTCTCACTTATCTTCTTCCTCAACAAGATGGCTCTCAATTTAGAAAACAAAATAAAATACAGGTATTTATTCTTGTTTAAGTTCCAGAGGGATTGTTCTCTGGTATAGGCGTAGGTGAATGAGGTTAAGTGTATGGATATGACCACATATTAAGAGTCTGCAGTGGCAATAGGAAAAGGGTAATGACCATTTTTCAGAAATAAATTAAATGATGAAAGTGCCTGTCAATGAATATGACCAATGAGATAATCCTATACTTTCACACAGCAATAATTATTTACCATACATGGCTTTTTCCTGCAGACTTTGAGAGTTCTCTCTCTCTCTCTCTCTCTCTCTCTCTCTCTCTCTCTCTCTCTCT